GCTGTTTTGCTTTGAAACAGATGTCACATGACTGAATGTCCTTTTCACCTTGTGCTGTCCACACATCCTTCAAAAAAGGTAAATGTTTCATTGTTGTGTAACTGGCATGTCCCAGACATCTGTGCCAAGTGTCAAGGGTCAGATTGCATCTGACAATTTCTTCTGTGTCTTTCTCAAGAACATACAGATTCCCAACTGTTATTCCCTTACCAACCACTTTCCCACTGTCACAGTGTCTAAGTTCACAAGAGCCAGCTGAAAAGGTACACTTCACCCTTGAATCTGAGCATAACTGACTTACTGACAACAAATTATACTTAAAACCTGGTACAAATAGAACATTAGGCAGTGTTAAACCCTTCTTCAGAACTACCATTCCTGCTATATGCACTTTCTTGTGTGACCCATCAGGGAGGCAGATGCTTATTGCTTCCTTCATATAAAATGTGTTCTCCATCATTGTTAGATCTCCACACATATGTCTGCTTGCCCCGGTGTCAATTATCCAACTCTGTGAATCCATTTTGTCACCAATAGTGAGTGCAAAATGCATTTCATGTTCATCACCTTTTTCCTGCAAAACTCACCAGCTGTGCATAATCCACCTTGCTCTCTGAGGTCTCCTTTCCTTTGATGTATTGTGTTAGCTCCTTCAACTGTTGCATCACAAATGACATCTCACTATCTGAGCTGTTGCTTCTCCTTTCACTGACATTATCCCTCCAACTTTCTGGTCCTTCAGTGACATCTGCATTATGAGCATAATTTCTTGTTTGTTCTCCTTTCAGTTCTTTATACCATTCTGGAATTCCATGTATTTTAAAACAAGTGGCAATAGTGTGCCCATTCATTCCACATTTTCCACAAACCAGCTTAGCTCTTTCTTCTTTGCTCAATCTAGTGGCACCTCTACCTCTGCCAGCCCCTCTTCCCATATTTCCTCTTCCATAATTCATTTGTCCCCTTCCTCTGTTTCCAAAATTCACATTCATAGCAACATTTTCAACCTTATCAAAGCTGCTTTGGACTGATTTTTGCCTTTCAGCTGTGAGCACCATTGAATATGCTTTACTGACACTAGGCAAAGGATCCATCATCATTATCTGATTTTTCAGTACTTCATAGCTGTCATTAAGCCCCATAAGGAACTGAATGAGTTTGGTTTCAACATTGTTCTGAGCTACTATTCTCCCTTTTTCACAATTACATGCCTGTATAGGTACTATGTGAGCATACTCATCCCAAAGTTTCCTCAATTTACTGAAGTATTCCATTACTGTTCTGTTTCCTTGTGTTATAGAACAGATTTCCCTTTGCAGCTTGTACTTCATCGGCCCGTTGTTTTCACCATATTGTTGACAGATATCATCCCAAAGCTCTTTAGCAGTTTCAGCATACATGAAGGATTCAGCTATCTCCTTGGATAACGAATTCAAAATCCATGACTGTATCATCCAGTCTACCTTTTTCCAATCTTCATATTCCTCACCACCTTCTTCTGGCTGAGGAATTTCTCCATTAATGAAACCTAACTTTGTTTTCGCTCCAAGTGCGATCATCATTGATCTTCTCCAAGACAAAAAATTACTTCCATTCATTTGATTTGATACTAGTATCATACCAGGGTTATCAGATCCATGAAGGAAGAGAGGATTGCGATCCTGTGCTGCATTTGCTTGTCTCCCTCCATGTCCAATGGTACTGAGGATGCCATCTCTGTTCGCCGCCATTGTTGTTCAGCTTCAACTGCTTCAAGATCAGAAGGATCGACTTGCTCTGGATACCATGTAAAATCGAAATCTCACCAACAATATTCAAAGCACCAAGTCTGATATTTTGGGAAACTATTTTCTCTTAGCTCAAAAGTTCCGTACATGCACAGTATTTATAACCCTAATGTTCATGCAAAAGAAAAGAAACGGCGTCGTATTGAAACAGGGAACACGACGCCGTATTAGCCACTAAGAAGTAAAAGGAAAAACATAAAACGGGAATAGAAAACAATAAAGACGTGCGTGCGACTTTGTGCTATTATTTCTTCTGTCTGCATGTCTTCAATGTGCATAAGCTATGACTTCAATAACATCGTTGTCTTCAGTTTTTTCTTAGCCGGAGGTGAACGCAGAATTGCGAACGCCATCCATGCCGAGACCGACATCATCACTGAGGTTGACGTTTTTCCAGATCCTGAGGAATTAAAGAGCATCCGATTTCCATTACACATAGAGAAAAAAAAAAAAGAGGACTTTAATTTTATAGATAGAGAGATTCAAGATTTTGTGAGAGAGAGCAGAAAAGAGGGGAAAGCTGAACAAATTAGAGAGATGGTTAAAGCTACGTTGGAAAAAGAGTTTCTTTTTCGTAAGTACTACTTCATATTTTTTTTAAATGTCATTTTGACTTTATCAACTATTAACTAAATAAGTGTCGTTTTGGGTCTTTTGTATATGGTTTTTCCCATTATTACCTTTATTGAGTTAATAAATACATTACGTCTTTTCATATTCATTCTTCATTTTTTCTTAAAACATTCATCTCTATCTTCATTAAATAGGGTTATTATTGACAACAAAATTATTCTTAACTATTGTGCAACTTCTCAAAACGATATTTATTTTGAATAGGAGGGAGTATTATTTTTCGATGCTTTTTTTTTTTAACTAAAGGTTATTTTTTGGACGCTTTTTCTTAAGTACATTCCTAATTATTTATGAGTTTTTTTATTTTTATATGTGGAGTTATTTAGGATAGGATATTGATTATTGAACTATACTAGTGCGGTACTCGTGCGATGCACGAGCTAATTTTATTAAGGTAAATATTTAAATTAGATGATTGGAAGAACGTAACACATGTATTGAAATAAAAAAATGTAACTTATACATTATTAAACACATCATTCTACATAACATTATTTGTTTGGTATTTAGTAAATTGTCTATCGCATTGCATAGCCAATTATAACAGAAATTGAAAAACATTTTTCTTGATAATTTATAGTCTTACTATTTTAATAGTGTAAATTACTTAATTTAAGGAAGAGAAAAATTGTGTAAGTATATGCAATCGTTTCAAATTTGTATTCCAGAGGATTAAATAAAACGCAAATTTTTAGGATGTTTCAGTACGATTTCATTTTGAATTTGATATATGATATTATACTGGACCCGGTTTAATGGATAAAGCGGATATATATTGAAGGATAAGCCCACTAAGACATCTAAGCCCAACGATAGGGGTCAAGCTCAACTTTGGCCCAAAAGGTACACTCGCCCTATAAAAGGGGGCCAAGATACTTCATTCTCTCATTCTCTATTCATTCATTACTGCACTATCTCTCTCTTGGGATTGGAGACTGACTTAGGCATCGGAGGCCCGACGCCGGGGCCACCCCCGGCGTTGGGTTTTGCAGGTATGGAGGCCGGTTCGAGTTGAAGGAGCCTAGGTGGAATTTATTCACTTCAGAATTTAAAACTAATATTATTTGACTCTATTTTATGTTTTAAAAAAATACGAACTAAAGAAAGTAGTAGCCAAATGATATGAAATTTTTAAATTTTAATTGAACTGAAATTGGGCCCGATTTCTATGCAATCCGATTTTTTTTAATAAACATGATTTGTTGCAATTAGGTAAAGATACACGTTATAGTTTGCCTAATTCAAAATTCTCGATTTTATAATAAACAATTTTTTTAATAAAAAATGAGAGAATTTTGACTTTTACAAAATTGTCATGCCGAATTTTACCTCAATTTACCTGATTTCTATGCAATCCTATTTTAGTTTATAAATAATTAATGTGTTGCAATTAGAAAAATATATATGTGATAGTATTTTGCATAATTTGGAATTTCTGATTTTATGATAATCAATTGTGTTGTGTTATAATAAAAATTGAGAAAGAATTTTGACTTTTGCAAAATTGTAAGCATCAGTCGAAATTTAACTAAATTGAATCTACAAAACCCATGAATTTAGTATGCATATATAGCAGATCTATTTTTTGAGAATAATTTAAAAAGAAAATTAAAAAACTGCCAAAAATATAATGCAATAAATGCTAGTTACTTTTTTGTTACTATTTTTGGTAAATAGGTTCTCTCTTTATATATAAACTAGTACGTACCCCGTGCGATGCACGAGACAGAAATATTAAATAAGTTATTTTCACATACTTTGTCCGTTTAAGTATATAGTAATAGTATTATCATTTATTTTTCATCTCTTTTAATCAGCGTTAAATATAATAAACAATAAGGTTATAATATATTTTGCACCTCTTTTAATCAACGTTATTTTTTAGTCAAAATATTAAAATAATTTATATATTATTTCACTAAGATAAAATATATATTTATTCCTTGATATAAGAGAGAATAACAATTTTACTTTTTTTTTTCACCATAATACTTAATTATTATTTTATTATACACATTTTGTCATATAATGTCATTATTTATAAAATTATAGAAGTTGTACGTCTTCTTTTTATTTTTATTTTATGTAATGAAAAATATTTAATGCACGTTTGTATTATTTATTTATGTAATCGATGTAAAATATGTAAATAAATTTAATATTAAATAGTGTATAAATATTTTACATAATATACACATGTTTTTTTAGAATTTATTTTGTATACTAATTAAACAATTTTAATTTAGAAAATGCCAAAAACTCGATTACTCTATGATCAAGATTTTTCTAATTTGCATTATAAGGATTTATGGTTTACTTATCATACTGAGCAATGAAAATAAATTTTACAATAATTTAATTATAGAAATAAATCAAAATAAAAAAATGAAAAAATATAATCATGAGTGCCAATAAT